AGGGAAGAAGGTGAGAAATCAAAATAGAGAATGTTTCAGGGTTTCGAATGCAAAACACGAGACTCGTATGAATAGTATCACATAGTGTTGTTTACCTCGAGTTAAATAAGGAAAAGCGTAGGGTCCTTTTTGCATATTCACCAGGTCTGTTTGGGCAGGCCGTGCTGGGCCGGTCTGCTGCCGTCGCGCCTAGGCCGGCTTGTTGGGCCTCGCTCGTCCGCGCGTGGGCCGTCCTTCTCATGTTGGCTGCGGTCCGCTTAGCCCTAGGCCAAGACGTCGTGCTTTGAAGGCGAAGTCATGCACTGTTGGTTGCCGCTCACGCCTGCGCTTAGGCCACGTCTGCTGTTGGCGCCTGGATCATATACCTTGGCATGGAAGCGATTTGGTGGCCGCTGGCCCTTTTAGTTTTCTAAAGTAATTGTTAATTTAGTTTCAGAAATAAACATGTAAAATCAATATAAATTTGTGTAATTGTCAAAAAATTGCGAAACTAATTTTGTTGTGCTTCTAAAATCATGATCTATCTATTAGTGTATTTTGTTCACATAAATTCGGTATGTTTTTAGGGTTGCTCTAATTATTTTAACATGCTTAATATTGTTAAAAGGTGAACTTGTAGGAATTTTCATGATAAATCGGTGATAGTGTTGACTCTGAAAATTTTATAGTAAATTACTAATATTATTAGCTGCTCACTGTAATTTTTGTAGGTCTAGAATAATTAGTTTGTTAGATACATAATGATGACCTATTTCGAATAATGATTAAATCGATAGAATAAAATAAAGAAACACTTTGGAATTGTATAACTAAAACACTTGTTGGGAGATGACACTTTTCTTGACGATGTTGATACGTAGATTAGTACGTTAGTCATTAGAGCTAGCTTGTTAGTTCGTAGTAGGTACTCTGTTTTAAGAGTTGTTGTTGCCTGGTTAATTAACTATTGCATCATCTCTGCATCTCATTGCATATCATAATAGGAACAACGGTGGATCGATGGTATCAACTGGAGTAGCTGAAAAGATGGTGCTAGAGATCAGGACACAAAGATGGAATGCTAACTTTTGGTATATTTTACCCAGACAAGCCCCGGTGCATAACCCCTACTTTTCTACACTTTAAATTATATTTGTGCATTAATGTTTAAGGAGTTGAATGAAACCCACTTGCATAGATATATCTTTATCCTATGAGTCTTACTAGTATGACAGGATCGTGTAGATTGCTATGCTACAGGACTCCGGTAGAAGTCGAGTGATTGCCTATCATTCGCGAGAGATATGAAATATATTACTGTATTATTATCACTTGGAATATATAAATGGTAAAAGAAAAAATAAAGACCGGGCAGGGATATGGTTTGGGTATTGGTGGGTGTAAGAGGTTGTGTTCTGCGGCCAACGGGACATAGCTTGGTTACACTGTTTTCCCTGTCTGTGTTGGTTAGGGACCGACCGTTGTATTGGGTTTTAGGCAGGTCACAGACTTATTATCCCGAGCACATACTTGATATGGGCGTAGGGAAGACTAGTTACTCTCTTGTCATGGGTTCTGACTCTTTCTAGACCGACTGTCAGGGTGATTTTTGGGTGGAGGTCCTTGCACCGCACTAAGTCCGAGACTCAGGGGCGAGGACTTGGAGTCCTAGTTTGGACGAAGACCTGGGCCTCGTGATAGGAGGGTAGTGGGTTGGTCCTGCTTGTGCCTGGGGTACAAGCGGGGCGTGTATTTCGAGATACCCAGCTTGGCACATTGATTCACGAATCGCCGGGCAATCCGGTACGACTTATCTACAGTCTAGCAACGTAGTAAGAACTGAAAGATGAAATATGGTAAAAATGATTTTGATTGCTTACCACCTGCTTGAAAGTAGCATAGGTGCTTACATACAATGGTTAGTTAATGAACTAATGCTGACTGCTAATAAAATTGAATATAAGGACGCACGCTTAATGATGCTTCCTGTAGATGCAATAAACCCACAAGCCAGATAGCCTTGCATATCCTTAGAGTCTCTTTCTTTTCTCCTATCGAATAAGTCTTACTGAGTACAATTAAGTACTCAGGGTTTTATTTTCCCCTGTTGCAGGTGACAGGTGGATGCTAGAGCTAACCTTTGTGTGTGGATTCCTCCTGGTGGGCTTAGAGAGGATTTTCTTTACGCTGCAATTATAGTCTTTATTTATAACTCTCACAAAATGTTTTTATAAATAGAAGTGTTATAATCTGTTGTCATAGTTTATATATCAATATTTTATTATGTCATGAATAGATAATTATTTTCGCTGTAATTCTGATCACATGTTTATATTCCGCTGTCAAATTAAATTGTTCATAACTCTGATAACATGATCATATTCTGCTATTATCAACAGTAAATATTATACTCTGATGTTACATGAAAAGTGATGTAAGAAATGGTTAAAATGTTGTAAGCTTTATTCTCTCATTTGTGATCCTGATGGGAAAAATATGGATTTTCGGGTTCTCCCCTGGGGTGTGCCCGACAGAACTATGTAATTTAGTATTCTCCCTTGAGTACTTAGTGTCTAATGGAAGACAAGTACTCCTGAGAGGCATTAGATTAGGCGGTTCTGCCACACATACCCTCTGTTACTCACGCATCCAATTTCTCCCTGAACTTCCCGAGCAACCGAGCGCTCCTGTCTCCTGTGAGTCCGTGACATTCTTCCTAAAAAACACCAAACCCTAGATTGATGGAAGGAGAGGATGATAGAGAAGAGGATGTTGCGGCCGACGACGCCCAGCACCAGCTGGTCGTGCCCTCTGGCGGGGCGACCTCACCTGGCGGAGCCCGGCCGTGGCGTGGTCGCGGTGGCGGGGCTGATGCTTCGGTCAGCCCACGGCGTGGCGGAGGCGACGCGACCCCTCTGGCCAGCCAGCAGCGTGGCAGAGGCGGCGGCTCCCGGCGCACAGGCCACAGGGCAGCCTTCCCAGGCCAGATCAGAAGGATTGTGGGGGCATGTTCTTGGATCTGGAACGGGATAGAGTTTTCTTGCACTTGTTATTTCTGAGACTTGCAATGCTTTTTTTGTGCTAACCCCGGCTACATATCCAAAAGCTTGGGAAGACAAGCAGTGCCCCAGCGAAGTTCTTTATTGAATACTCCCTCCGTCCCTAAATGTTCGTCGTTTTCGCTTCTCAAAAAATAACTTTGACTAAATATATATTAAAAAATATTAATAGTTATGATACATAATTAATATCATTGGATAAATATTTAAATTTAGTTTTTTAATAAATATATTTGGTGATAGAAATATTATATGTATTTTTTATAAATTGAGTCAAAATTATCGACACGCAAATCATGACGATAAACATTTAGGGACAGAGGGAGTAATTCGTAGTTTCGGTGATTTAGCGAGAAATATGAGTAATTGTATGCTTCTGATGTTCAATTGTGGAGAACTCTAGATGATTGGCTAGCTGTAACACCAGATGCTCAAACCTGTACTATTCTAAGCATTTGTAGAGAAATATCTGTTTATTGTTGTCTGCATGTCTTGCGATGATCTAACAAGAATATAGGACTGACCAAACTGAGATGAACGAGCTGCTAAATAGCATCAAACAATTTCTGACCAAGCTAACTAGACAGGGCAAATCCCTCCCGTGCTAAGCCTACCCCAGCGGGACCTGCTCTTACCTTGGAATTTGAAATTCATTATTTATTTATTTGCAGACTTCAATTATCAAAATCCCATGTTTTAGTTCACAATATATTTGTGATATTTATAATTTTCTTATTTGACAACCTATTCATCTATTATTTTCCTATTTGGTATCATGTATTTCTGCTACAAAGAAGGACATTTATATCATTTTATTAACTACTTGACGTCGTTACTAACCCAAATGGACGATAGTGCTATCTAGAGAAGGAAATTTCAACTTCGTGTCAAATAAGAAAGTTCAAAATTTTTAGTGCTAAATATAAAAGACTAATCTGTTTCGGTGCCAAATACGTAATTCTCCCCTTTTTCAACCCAGCAACCGTGCTCTGCTCGACCTCTGTTGAGATAGGACATTCGGAAATGCAAGTTCAGCTTCAGTAGGTGGAACAATGATTAGAAGCAAATTGCAAGAAGAGAGAGAATCGGCGTGCTCTCGTGACAGTGTCCGAGCCAGAGAGAAGAATGAGGTGAACCAAACAAACACTAGGCAAAGCATTCCATGGAAACGACTCGAGGCCTCCGCTGCCACGGAGGCATTCTCCGCTGCAGCGCCCGACGCAGGAGCCAAGATCCAGACGTTGACGTTCCTCCCGTTGGTGAGGTCGACACCGGCGGCGACGACGGAGACCATTGGATCCAATTTCCTGACGGCCCGAAGTTGCCGAGAGGAAGGGAGACTGAGATGGGAGCCAACCGGTCACGGCATTGTTTCAGATTCAGACATAGATGGCATGAGAAATCATATTTTTGCCCTTCAATGACGGTACTAAAATGACTGATTTACTCTTATTCGAAAATAAAATATAAAATGGAAAATAGATTTTGTCCCACAAATTTTGGTACTGGCCCACCTAATTTGGTATTATCCCCACCTATTTGGTACCTTCAGATAATTTCAGTTGGCTACCTACCTCCTATTTTTTCACTGTCCGATCTCGCTCAATGGATGACCATCGTAAATTTTGCTTTGTATAAAGCAGGGGCTACCACTTTTCTAGAAAAAGGGTGGATGACAGCCCATCTGTATATATCATTAGCCCCGTTCGTTTCGCTAATAATACAGGTGGATAAGTTCAAACAAACAAGGCCTTTAGTTCTTATTGCTTTGATACCTCATATATATGGATATACAAATTTAGGCATATACTTACAGTCACATACGTACACACATATATATCATAGTCATTCATGTTACATTTATGCTTGACAACAGTTTATTTTCCTGATACACACGTTACATATAATATACACGGTTCATTCGCTCAAATTAACTGCCAATATAATATAATAATATATGGCTTACTGACCAATCTTTTCTTCTCTGGTCACGTAATAGATACTGTGGACATTCCGACCGGAGAAGTTGCCATCATCGTATTGAAGGGTGACCACCTCTCCGTCTATCAGTTTGTCAGTCTGCCGGTACGAGAAGGGCACCTCAAAGCTGGCCGCTACTCCCTGGCAGGTTACTGTCACCTTAGTCATCGGCGGCACGTCAACGACGTACTCTTCACTCACCTTGGAGTGCTTCTTGTGGTCGGCTCCCCAGCTGATGAGCCCGTGGAAGAACCGCGGCGACATCGCCAGGAAGCTGTACTGCACGTACACGAACGGCGAGGTGATGGAGGTCCGGACTGGCGACTTGAGCGTCACCGTGGAGTACCATCCCCACGTCTCCTCCAGCGTGTAATCCAAGGCGAGCTTCACGGCGGGCATGGTCGACGAGGTGGTGTTGGTGACCGACGCCGTCGCGAGAGCAGTGTACCTGTCGTCGCCGACGATCACCGCCTGCACGTCCTTGAAATGGACGTGGTCGATCTCCCGGGATACGACAGGCTCTTCGAACTGCAGTCTGGACCACGCCTCAAACCGAGTTCCGGTAGCAGAGAGGCCGTGCTCCACGTTTTTCGTCGTTAGCCTCTTGCAGTACTGGTTGCTTCCTTGGTTCAGAATCCCAATTGCTCCACCGGTATAAAACGCTTGGAACAGTGTGTTGGGGTCGTCGTTGTTGCTGGTGTCGTCGGTGGAGTCTGCATGTATCCATGACCCTGTGCCGCTGCTGCCAGAGTTCCTCCAGAACCGTCCGAAGTGATCAGATTTTATCCTTATGGTACCATCTCTACTGGCCGTGGTAGTGTGCCTCACGGTTGGATCATTGATATCCTCGGATTCAAAGACCAGAAATGGTTTGTTGTGTAGTGACTGTGCGCTGAGGTACTTGCCATTATCACCCTTGAAGCACACATATTTGGGCAACATCCATTGGAACAGCTCAAGAACAAATTGTTCAGATTGTTCTTCGTCTCCCATGCACAAGAAGTCTTGGTTGCTCTCGTTTGCCCATTTCGAGTCAGAGGAAAAATGCCAGCATATTTCCTCAGCCGAGCATGAAAGAACCTATATCATACAATACAATCACAAAGTGAAAATATTTCTGAAAAAATGGTTAATTAGACGAGGGAGGGAAAGTATAAAATTTGTTTCTTAAACATCATGGCAACTATGAATAAATTTATTTCACAGCGACGCCCAATATAACAGTGCACCGGGACTAATCAAATATTGCTGCAAACATTTTTTTAAATGCATGGATTACTTTTAATTATGAATGCAAAAGATCTTAGCCTCAAATTTTGTTGTATTGAAATTGAATGGCACATATTCAATTAATCCAGGATCAGAGGCTCCCCAATGGAGTCTCCATGTTGATCCTCATAAGATGTGCTAGAAAAAAATGAATCCAAAATTATCACAGGAATCAAAATCATTTGGCCGCTTTATTGGTAGAATCTAATCATCATCACTAACAATAATCATTGGATCTGTTTTGTTTTATAAAAAATTACCCACCTCCATCATTTTGAAATGTAACTCAAAATGACACCTAAATTTGCATCAACATTACCCACTTTTGCCATTATAAAAATAAATTTAAAATAACCCCCTAATTTTGTATAAAAAATACCTACTTATATATGCAATTATGAACGATAATGTAAAGTAACCTCTAAGTTTGTAAGTTGTTACTTTTAACTCAATAGTGGCAGAAATACATAATTTAGAAATATATCACATACTTTATGGCTATCCAATTATTTTCCATAATAGCTTGATACTTAAGTTAAAAGTACACACAGTGCTACGTTGCCCCATGAGACCAAGTAAATGAAATATGTATACATTAGGATAAATACTTATATTAATAGTTTTTCATGCGTGGAAACATTTCCCTTCATAAACTACATATCAATATCAATGACATTGACAACTCAATTTAAATTATATCAATACTCCATGAAAATGAATTTTGTAAGTTGTTATTTTTAATAAGTTTCCACAAAGACAAATAACAGATTACAAAAATAACAATTTACTTGTACTAGTTGGTGGTACAGGAGTATTGCCGGATAAAATTTAGGCACCTGAAATATAGGAGAAATGATAAATAAAATTGAAGCAAGTTGAGCTGGATCAGCAAAAGTGTCGTTCTCAGTGTTTCGTCTTCTCGTAGCGGTTAGTATAGTACAAGAGAACAGATATTTTCTCTATGTAGTCTTGTCCAGATTCCGTAGGATACCTGTCTCATGTTGGCTATTTAGTCCAAGGGAGATATTTAAGTATTAGCGGGGCCTCATTTCAACCATATATATGTAAGTCCCTTGTGATCAAGGTTCATATATTTGATAGTTTCATAATTAATTTTTAAGAGTAAAGTCCATGACCAATCTTGAAACTTGTCGAGGAGTGTCATGATAGACCTTATGCTCACAAATTGCAATTGCATCATTTCAGTCCTTGATTTCCGTTTGCAATTTTTGAGTAGAGGACCAGCAAGACACACTTCAACAAATTTAAGGACCAAAATAATGTACTTATTAGTATGACGACCGACATGAAAGATCCAAATAAGTTTGAGAACCGACTATGCATTTTACTCGTTTCCAAATATCCATTGGTAACCCCTTCTATTAAAAAGTAGTGGCAGAACGCAACCTTGTTGAGAAGAAGTGCTGATAAAGAAAGAAAACCTGGTGGTTCTGAGATCGCCTTTGACATGCTTGAGCTGGAACAGCGTGCATGACTGCTGGGACAGGTCCTCCTCTGGCGTGTCGGCGCTGCCGGCGATCCTCCATTCGTCAGCATGCCCCTGCTGGGCGACCCAGTATTTGTTGTTGTAGCTGCACCTGATATGAACAAGCCCGTCATTCTTGGACGACGGCTCGACGTAGAACCTCGAGAGCGGGCTCTCAGCGTCGTCGCCGATGAGCCGAAGGAGCTGGCTGTTGGCCGCGTCGTTGCCGTCGTTCGCAGAGTAGCGCAGGTACTTGCCGTTGCTTTTGGACCGGAGAGCAGCACAAATGGGCACTGATGACAACATTACTGTTGCTCCTCTTCTACTTCGTTTTATGTATATGTATGTAGTATTCAGAGTGCGTTGGTGCTTGTGCTTCTACGATTTGGGACTCGATCTTTATCCTGTCTTTAATTTATACATAATCATGGCCTGTCCTATCGATGTGGATACAAGGATAGAGAGACATGCGCTTAAATCACGTGTGATTCGTGAGGAATATAATACTAGATATTTCGGGTACTTGCTTGGTAACCAATACCTCGTGAGAGTGTGTGCTGTGAGATCACAGGATCCTCATCCGTGTCGAGATGCGGAAAGATGCATGCAAGTCACGTGTAAGAAAAAGGGGATTCCTTTTTTGATTTTACCAGCTTGACAATCATCTCCTGACCTTGGACCATTATCCATGTACATGTACTCTTGGATTTTATTTGAGTTCGGATGTTTTCGTGGGATATGCAACTGTTTATTTATATTTTTACAAAATCACATCACAGATATAAATATTCTTACGTAGAATATTCATCGTTATGAACGTACGCACACACTCAACTCTAATGAGCACCTTCAAAAGACTAAGACTTCAACCAGCAGAACCCGATATTGTTGAAGCTTCCCCAAACACCTCATTTTTTATGGTCATATTGCCTACCAGCGGAACAACGATTTATCTTTGTTCTTAGAAAACACATATGTTGGGAAACAAATATCTGAGTTGTGGAGGCAAACTTACGATCTGACCGAAAACACTAACCAAGCTATGAAAGTAATGATTTACAAGCATCACGGAAAATAGTCTTCGCCTACACCCCCAGCCTGGCGAAGGTACGGAGGCGAAGGCGGGGGCCACCGGAAGCTGCGGGCTGCGACCAAGAATGGCGTGGAGGGCAGGCGTCGAGGACGAAGGCCCAAACAGAGGCGTAAGCGTTCAGGACGGAGGCTGTGACAGGAACGCTAGAGCCTCCGTGCGACCAAGGGGACCCTTGCGGCGCAGATGGGCCGCTGGCGGGCCAGGGGCTAAGGCCCAGGAAGCAAAGGCGGTTGGGACAGAGAAAGCTGGAGATGCCCCTAGTAGCTTATGCTTGTATAGGAATATCCATGAGAATATGCCCTAGCTGTCAAAGGGCAAAGATGTAAAGTAGTACCCCTGTGTATGGTGCCCTATAAAAGGGGGAGCCGGATCCTATGTAAGTGGAGGTTACTGAATACATTTATAAAACCCTAATTGTGTCCGGACCCACCTGTCCGATCACCTTCGCCTGGAGTTTCCAGCCAGGCGAAGACCTTCGCTCCTCCATCCTGCTAGGAACCTGTTTCCCAACATTGGCACCCACCGTGTGTTGGCCAAGCAAATCCCACAATGGCCAGAAAAAGAGCAGCCTCTGCCAGGGCATCAGCGGAGCCTACTACAAGGGGAAGGTCCAGGCGTAGCGCCCGCAGCACCTACGCCAGCGCTCCCAAAAATCAAGACACAGAAGAGCCGCTAATAGAGGAGCAGCCTATGGCGAGCGAAGAGCAACCAGCCCTAAACCCCACCCCAGAGCAAGTGCTTCAACAACTTCAAGCCCAGTTGCAGAGTACACAGCAAGAAAGAGATAGATTAGCTGCAACCTTCGCCGCAAGCCAAAGAGCAGTTCCGGCGTCCCTTCAGGCAGCAGAGATCAGGTAGCAGTTGGCCGTGTTGCAGGCGGAGATACAAAGCATGCAGCCTAGCCAGCCTGTTTCCATTACACCCAACCAGCGCCACTCAGCAAATCAAAGCCAACCCCTTCGCTAGGCATGGCCGCCCAGCTAACCTTCGGCACACCTTACGCTCTACCAACAGTCCACAGAGCTATAGACACAAAATCTCCATTATCCGAAGGAATCCAAAGCTCACCTTGGCCCTCCTCCTACAAGCCCATCACCCTACCCAAATTCAACGGAAAGTCAGATCCGCGACAGTTCATCAAGAGCTTCGAGGCAGTTGTAGCCTCCACGGACGGAAATGACAATGTCCTGGCCAAATCATTCGTTATTGCAGCCGAAGGTGATGCATTGGCATGGTATTCTATGTTGAGGCCAAGTTCGGTATATTCTTGGGAAGGCCTCCGCGACAAAATCATAGCCAATTTCAAAGGGTTTACCACTAATTCCCTGACCTCGATGGATTTGTTCCAGTGCAAGCAAAATCAAGGCGAGGCCCTAAGGGACTATTTTCAGAGATTCGTGCAGCTGAAAGCGAAGGCACCAAATGTCCTAGAAGATTCAACAATTGAAGCCGCAATCAAAGGTCTCCGCATTGGAGCCTTCGTAACTCATCTAGCTTGGGAAAAGCCAAGCACAATAGAGGAGCTGTACAATGAGTTTGAGAAATATTGTAGGTCCGACAACGACCTTCGCAGAAGGCTAGAGGAGCAAAACAGAACAAGCAATACCAAGGGAGCAACATGAAAACTCAAAGGAGCAATAGAAACCAAGGTCAGTCACAGCCTCAGCAAGCGTGAGATCAACAAGTTTTCAATATAGAGCAGCAAGGGAGTAGCCAACAAGGGTAGCAGATGCCGGAGGCAGTCCCAAACAAAGCACCTCAGAGGCAATACGAAGGCAAGAAATACAATCAAGTGAAGAAGTGGAACAAGAACCAGGACCAAAGACAGCGAAGGTAGTATTATTTCTTTCATGGAGAGAACAAATGGCACATCACCAGAGATTGCCCAGATGCGAAGGAAATTCAAGAGAGGATAAAGAACAGAGCAAACCCACAGCCTTTGCCACAACAACCCACAAGAGAAGTCAACCATACCTTCACCGCACCCCCTCAGTAGCCATACTACCCAATCTACCCAAGTCTTAACTCCAATCAAATCCACCCATATACTCTAGCAGCCGCATACTACCCTAACTTCTTACCCGCATGGTGACCAAACACCCAGCAGCAAGGGCAGTCCTATAACTAGTGCGCAAAAGCCAACCTCACCTATATAAACCCAAGGCCTCCATACATAACATTCGTAGAGTCAAACCTGCCAGCTCAAGCTCACAATAGACAACTTGAAGCACTACCTCCGCCACCACCCCCACCACAACTAGCCGCGCCCAAAAACGAGCCCAACCTAGAAAACCAGCTCAACCCACATACACCGCTACCCACCATTGGCATGATACTGCCAGTAGCCGGAGGCTCTTCAATGGAGTTCCAGACAAAGAAGCAGAAGAAAGATCATCTTAGGCTTGTCAACAACATAGCGGTTCAGGGTCTAGTACGCTACACAGATTGGTCGAAGACACCCATTACGTTCTCAGAGCAAGACCTCCAATTAGAAAGCTACCCCCATGCTGATGCCATGGTGATCAAGGCCAACATAGCAGGCTAGGAAATCAACAGGGTTCTAATAGATTCTGGAAGCTCTGCTAATATCATCTTCGCTAACGCCTTCGACCAGATGAAGTTGAGCAGAAACCAATTACAACCTTCGGACTCTCCACTAATCAGTTTTGGAGGAAAGAAAATTGATGCATTAGGAAAAATCTCTCTGCCAGTGTCCTTCGGAGGCTAGAAAAATGCAAGAACAGAGTATGTGACCTTTGACATAGTAGACCTCTACTACCCGTATAACGCCATCTTCGGCAGAGGGTTTGCAAATAAGTTCAATGCAGCCATCCACATGAGCTACTTGTGTATCAAAATGCCAGCTCTACATGGCATCATCACAGTCCACGGCAGTAAGAAAGAGGCAAGAAACATAGAGAGAGCCATCTACAAATCACAGCGCAACATTAACTCTGTCAAATCAGCAAAGAACAACATGCCAGAGCCTCCGGATATGCCGAAGGGTAAAACGGATCTCAGAGATCAAGAAGAAACCAAGTCAGTCCCGCTAGAAAACATAGTACTAGACAGAAAAGTCATCATCGGAGGCAACTTGTCAAAAGAAGAAGAGGCAGAGCTCAAACATATTCTAGCTAAGAACAAAGATATCTTCGCTTGGTTAGCCTCTAATCTGAAAGGAATCAGCAGAGACATCATACAACACTCACTTGATATCAACCCAAAGATGAAACCAAGAAAGCAGAGACAAAGGAAAATGTCGGAAGATAGAATCCTAGCTGCGAAGGCAGAAGTGCAAAGATTGCTAGATGCAAATGTCATCAGAGAAGTCAAGTACTCAGAGTCGCTGGCAAATGTAGTGCTGGTGCCAAAGAAAAATGGCAAGATGAGGATGTGCATAGATTTCACAGATCTAAATAAAGCCTGCAAGAAAGATCCATTTACACTACCAAGAATAGATACCTCCGTCGATAAAGCGGCAGGCTGCAAACGCTTTTCGCTACTAGACTATTTTTTAGGATATCACCAGATCTGGCTCAATGAAGAACACGAGGAAAAGATAAGTTTCACTACTCCCTTCGGAACATATTGTTACGTCAAAATGCCTGAAGGGCTCAAGAACGCAGGTTCAACCTTCGCCAGAATGACCAAGGCAGTTCTTGGCCCACAGCTGCAGAAAAATATAATAGCTTATGTTGATGACATCGTAGTAATGAGCAAGAATGAAGAAGATCATATTGCAGACCTCAAAGAAACCTTCATGAATCTCAGGGCAGCGGGGCTCAAATTAGACCCAGAGAAGTGTGTCTTTGGCGTCAGCAGAGGAAAGATGCTCGGGTACATCATAGGACCCAAAGGCATAAGGGCAAACCCAGAAAAGACGAAGACAATAATCTTAATGGTAGAACCATCAACCAAAAAGGACATCCAAAAGCTCACTGGAAGGATAGCAGCATTAAATAGGTTCATCTCAAATTAGTAGAGCGTAGCTTTCCATTCTTCAAAGCTCTAAGAGGTGGAGACAAGGTGGAATGGGGACCAGAGCAGTCGAAGGCTTTCCAACAGCTCAAAAGCTATATGGCCAGCAAACTCTTGGTCACGGTACCAGATCTGGAGGCACCACTACTGTTGTACGTTGCAGCCTTCGACCATGCAGTCAGCAGGGTACTTGTCTAGGAAAAAGAAGAAGAAGCAAAGGTCATTCAACAACCTG